GTTTAATGAACAAGAGTCGAGAGTATAATGAGCTTTTTTCTCCCTAGCTACGATTTTGCCAGCGCGCATCCAAAACATTGGAAGGGGCACATCGCTACAGAAAATAAATGAAGTATAAAATATTGTCTATTATATGAAGTGAAATGGGAATTGACATTAATTACGAACGAAAATTAAATTGTATGAAATATAATTCTAACACATCCTCTCGATGATACAGGTGTTATATAGATATAGAAAAACGAAAAGGTCACATAACTAATAAATAATCTATGAAATAATCAGAATAAACACAGTCACAATTGCAAGCGGCTGATATTAATCAATCTGGAGTGAAGTGGATCAAACTTCAATCGATTAAAGCAAGCGTATTAAACAACAGAGAATGTGTTGATGATAACGTCTGGGTAATTGATTCTGGAGCAAAAGGTCACATGACGAATATGTAAGATTGGTTTTCATCATAATATGTACAATTTGCAGAACCGGTAACTTTGAAATCAGGAAAAATTGGTGTAACTATGACTGCACATGGTGTGGGTAATATTGAAACTAAATCCATTGTAAGCAGTGAACGTATACTGTTTACCATACATGACATTTCATTTAAACCGGATTAACCGCATAATTTATTCCCTGTAAGGGTTTCAACAAAATGGTCATAGTTTTCTAAATTATTAATAATAAACAGAAATTGTGTACTGACTTTTAATATAAACATTACAATTTATCGTATAGAAACTACATAAATAGTTTAATATAACGGAATACAGTTAAAGCTTTTTATTCGCGGGATATACGTTCCATAAAAACCGTGGATATGGAATGGTAATTAGTATGGAATCATAGGGGTTACGTTCTAAGGTTCCAAAATAAAGCCAATATGTATCAGAATAAAATCAATTTACTGAGAAATTCGCAATTAAATAATCGTTATAATGATCTTTCGACAAATTTAAATCAAAAAATTTAGTAATTTTTTCTTATTTTGAATTTTGAATTAGTCCACTCGGTCACATATTCTATAAAAGTCGCCTTGGCACGAGCCAACAGTACTTAAAAGATGCCTATACGTTGAAATATAACAACGAATCCTTTTCTGTTTACTCGGTTACATCTTTTATAAAAACTGCCTCGGACGTGCCAACAGTACATACTCAAAAGAAGCCGATACATTATCAGATTCGGTAGTACTCGAGCCGTAGAGTAAAGACATGCTTATTGGTTCTAGATATCATGAGTTTAATGTTTAGAACAGAGGTTTGAAATTTTGTAGTAAGATAGATAAAGCGTTGTTCTAAAGCCTGTCGATGTCCATTTTATATGTTTTTAATTTCAATTGAAAATACGTGTCCTACAAGAAGCATCAACTTTAAGCACTTGTAAAAGCTTTTAATAACCGTATTATTCAAAACCAAAAACGTACCGAGTTAGTGTGAACCTTTGCCTGTTACCATACAAAAAATCACATATTTATCTCGCAGCCTTAAATCACAATGTTGAGAATAGGAACCCATGTTTTCGGAAAAATTCACACTAGGCTCGTTCTATTGCTGTCTATCCATTTAATAAATGATACCGAATCGTTTTCTGTTTACCGATTGCATCCGCGAATAATGAAATTTTTAACCGCGAATACAGGAACTGGATTACAATTTTTTCACCCGCGAAAGAATAAGGAATTTTTACTGTATTTGTACATATGTAGATGTAGTAGAAGAAAATTAGATAAAAAAAATTGGTGAAATTGGTGGTTTAATTACATTTAAGATTGGAATATATTGTGTATAGTATACACCGATATTATCGATATCCCAAATATAATTCTAAAGACGGCAATAATAACAAACGTCGACAAGACAAATCGATTGATAACAAATTATATCACGTTGAGGTTGGCTACGCCGGTATTCGTTTTCAACAAGTCGATATCCACACAAGTGGACCTTGTTGGAGCATACGTAATCTTAAAATGTAGCATCGTGCTACAGATGGCGTTTACTGCGCCATTTGCAGTATTTTCTAAAATTATAAATACTTAACGACTTATTTAGTAGATATTCTCCCATTCATTGGTCAATATAAAACGAATAACTTTAAGACACGCTGAACACTTTTTTCAAAACCAAAATCTTAATTAATGTGTACGTTTAGAAGTTGGAATGTTATTAACGAGTGTCATAGCATTATAATCATAGGGGTCAATAAGGCATAAAATAAGCCCATTGCTGTTTATATCGCGATAAGCATAGGAGTTCTTGTCAGCTGTAAACCTGTTAGAATTTACATTGTACTGTCGGTTACTTTTTTCGATCAATTTACATTCGTGGTGGATTAGAAATAATCTTTATTCTAAATGAAAAAGCTCGCTGATCGATCTCCAACGAAAAAAAGCGGTGGGTATACTTTCGTACGCAGAAATGTAAAAGATTAATAAATCGTTACATACGGTGTAGTAATACCCAATTCTATATAGCTCAATGTGTATATATATTTTGTATGACTAATTACGTTAATTAACTACCGGAGTGGAGATATAAATTTAATGGTTTCAATTCAGAACGTTACGATAACAATTTTACATGAAGGTAGAATTAGTAATGAAATAATTGTTAATAAAATTGATAAAAATTTTATAACCCTTCTTAGTGAAAATCAACAGTTCCGTAATACAATAGTTTTAAATATTTGTTCCGTAATTAAATTGTATTTTTATTAAATAATAAACAGAAAAATTAAATAATAACTTAATAATTCTGTTATTTACGATCAGAATACATTAAAATTCGTGAATTTATGGCTTTATAACGAAAGGTCGGTAATAGTCAGTCGACCTTACTAAAAAAACATTTAAGCCATTAAAGATGGTGATCGGACTGTTGCTCCTAACTACATCGGAGTAGTAGTTTTTGATTCTTTAACGCCCGAGCTTTGCTATTTTTTACTTGTAGAGTATTCGTGTTTTTTAGTTAATAAATAATTAAAGTTAATAACACCTCTTAAATAGAATACATTAAATTGGCATAATTTATTTATCTACTGTTTATAATTGTAATTGTTAAACATAAAAAACATACATTTTCGTAAACCGTTTCTACCAATAGATGTAAGGCAATGCACTGCTAAAAACGTTAAACATTGTTTCTGATAATATTTGGTTCTATGGATGTTAAATATAGCCATATAACGCTATTTCTTCCTATCCTGCACTAGCTCCTCAGCCCGATGTAACGTCACTCTCTTCAAGATCTTCCCAACTTCGTCTGTCTATGTGTTCCTTGGTCTCCCTCTCCTTTTCCTCTCTATTATCCCAGTTTCCCATACTTTCCATACTTGTCTCTCTCTATTCATTCCGCTCACATGTCCGGACAATGAATGGAACATGTATTTGTGCCAGTAAAAGCTTTTTATTCACGGAGTATACGTTCCATAAATATGCCGAGAATACAGAAACCGTGGATATGGAATGGTAATTAGTATGGAATCATATGGGATACGTTCTAAGGTTCCAAAATAAAACCAATATGTTTCAAAATAAAATCAATGTATTGAGAAATTCGCAATTAAAATTAATCGTTATAATCACCTTTAGACGAGGGTTTAAAAAAATTAGTGATTTTTCTTTGTTTTGAATTTAGAATTAGTCCACTCGGTCACATATTCTATAAAAGTCGCCTTGGCACGAGCCAACAGTACTTAAAAGATGCCTATACGTTGAAATATAACAACGAATCCTTTTCTGTTTACTCGGTTACATCTTTTATAAAAACTGCCTCGGACGTGCCAACAGTACATACTCAAAAGAAGCCGATACATTATCAGATTCGGTAGTACTCGAGCCGTAGAGTAAAGACATGCTTATTGGTTCTAGATATCATGAGTTTAATGTTTAGAACAGAGGTTTGAAATTTTGTAGTAAGATAGATAAAGCGTTGTTCTAAAGCCTGTCGATGTCCATTTTATATGTTTTTAATTTCAACATCAACTTTATGCACTTGTAAAAGCTTTTAATGACCATATTATTGAAAACCAAAAACATACCGAGTTAGTGTAAACTTTTGTCTGTTACCATACAAAAATTACATATTTATCTCGCAGCGGTAAATCACAATGTTTAGAATAGTAATCCATGTTTTTGGAAAAATTCACGGTAGGGACGAACGGTCTATTGCGGTCAATCCCCTTAATAATTCCTGTTTACTGATTGCATCCGCGAATAATTAAATTTTGAGCCGCGAATATGAGAACTGGGTTGCAATTTTTTCACCCGCGAATAATGAAAACGCGAATAAGGAACCCGTGAATAAGGGACTTTTACTGTAATAAATAAAAAAGTATGACAAAATTTATGTAATGACCTACGTATTTAAGTACCAACGTTAAGCGGCCGATCTATGTCTCATAGATTGTAACGAATCTTATTTAAGCTTAAGAAATAATCAACAGTACCATACGTCTCCCACACCCTCAGTGGGAAACGATATCCGGACAAAATACCAATTTTAATACGAATTTTATTTCACAGATAACTAGCGAACATCAGCTAGGGAAGTGTGCCGTAAAATTTGCTTAATGTGACGTTAAATTCAATTTTTGCTTTATCAGTGACCTGTTATTGCTTGTTTACAAAAAATAAAGAAGTACAATGAAAATTGAACTAGTGGAGTACTTATGTACCTAAGGAAGGTATGAAGTTCTAGTTTACCGAATGACACGCAAAGAATACCGTCGAAATTCTTCACTATATTGGACTTGAATAAAGTTTAATCGTGCTTGTATAGATTCGCGAATGCTTCACACGCAATTTCAGTACGTATTTGTTTTTGTTAATTGAAACAGGTGATTAAGAACAAGACGCTTTAATTCGCCGTGAAGCTTTTACTGTCAATTTAAGCATGAGCAAACGGTAATAACAATATGAAGTTGGTAGCAAATGCTGTTCGGCGATTGTGAGCATAATAAAAAAAAAATTAATGTTTACCGATATATTTTTTTATAATTGCCGTAATATCGGCTGTTAGCTTATTAAGTACCAACACCTTTTTGACCCTAAAAGTTTACTTTCGGATCGTTCAGAATATAAAACCGAAATCCGATACCACGCTAATGAACACCTGCCACAATAAATTATTGTTCATTTGATAACAATAGGCAGTCTCGTCCAGGTGTGTTAATGGTAAAGATGCTGTTAACCAACTGTTACATACGGTTATGGATATATTTGTGCAGTGTGTTTCTGGTGAGTACCTCTGTTCACTACCCTTTTATATATATATATATCTACGACGGATGTGTCTAGACGCAAAATCCTAGTCCCGTTGATAAAATTCATCAACATACTGTGTCACAAATTGATTGCCTATGTTCGCAATTTGAATGAAGCGTGTTATGCGATTAATCAGGTAGACATATAGATTTGTAATTATCGGATAATTTGGATTAAATTTAACGGCAAATGTGGAAATAATTGTGAGCGCTGTCGGTATGCGTCGGGCAATGTTTAATTCCGTTTCAGGCAAGTTTCTCGACGACCGCGTATAGGGGTGTTTAAATAGTGTTATATATCGTAGTTGAGTAAGTAAATTTCAGATAAATTAATCAAACCTACTTATTGTTCCTTTTAATTATTTTACAATCGAACTAAATCTTCAAAATTAGCTGCAGATTATTAAAACACCCACATGACATTTCGAAAAAATTATCGGCACTCGGTTTTAATTTAACCGCATAATTTTCAACGAAAACCTTTTTCATCGAAAACCCTTTTCCCGTTTAAATTTGAGACTAAAGCAACTCCAAATCTGAAATTTACATATTTATAAGCCTATCTCTCCAAAGATAATAATATACATTTCAATAGAAGGAAACTTTAATGAAATTACTTCACAAAATTTGTATCTTATATATAACTGTGAGTAAATATATTTACAAACATATCGGTTTATTTATTTATATAAACAAAATGTTATTTATAATTTTCAAAAGCTTCTAAAGTTAACACGGTTATACAATAGCTCGTTTTTCATTTTAGAGACCTTACTGTCTAAAAACGATTATGTACGTTATTATAATTAAAATTATTTCGAAATTATTTTCAAATATAAACTACCTGATATTTATTTGTATTATTGAGCAACATTATTAAATGCATCAATGTTTACATATAATACGAAGCTGAAAATTGTATCACAATAAATTATACAATTAGGGAAAGTTTATGAACACAACGAAGGTTTTCATTAAAATACAACCGACTCTAGTTGCACCAACATTTACTAAACCACCACCATAATTTTGAAATACTCTATTACAGTTAGTAGTAATAATTTTAAATTACTACTTAAAATTTTAGAAATTCAAAAATATAGAAATACTAACAATTTCATCAACGAATACACAGAATTACATAATTCACCAGCAATATCTATCTTATCTATTTCGCCTTTCGAAAAAATGTATATATGAATTAAACACAAATATTGATATATAAAGGAGGAAAATCTAAAAATTAAAAGGGAAACATTAAAAGATGTCGCCAGTTTCCGCTACATAGAAAGTTAGATAAAACAAAGTGTAACTCAGGGTCGAGTCATATTTAACAAAAATAATAAATCACTCTTGTGGTCCCTATTGGTTAATGTAGGAATAGTTAAATGTGTATAAATGTTTAGAAGAATTTGAGGTGTAGTGTAATTGGCCGATGATGAAAATACAGAGGGTGGAAAACATTACATATAAGGAGGCATTAGATGGAATAGGAAAACAAAGGGTGTTATGGAAGTCAACTAGATAAAAGAGAGATAGGGTAGAAGCACATCATTTTGAGACACGTTATAGGCTAGTTATAGACATATTAGAAAACTGAAATAGGAATAAAGAGGGGAAATGGACAACCTTGGTTACTCTACGGGATGTAGAAGGCATGGAAATGCGTGTCTAACCAGACATCGGACTGATGACCCGTTAATGATGATGATGTTGATACATATTTCAAAAAATTTTATGTGTACTATCTCTTAAAACAGTAATAAACATTTATTTTTCTTATGAGGCAATGAATATATATTCTATTTGGTCTGTAAGTAAATATTTAGTAGAAGATAATTCTGAATACCATGAAAAACTGTTACATATAAAACTGAATTCGTTATTTCAATAATTCTCCACTTTATTTTATTTGTTCAAATTTTAATTTCAATATCCGTCTGAAATACATGATTTCATTTATACTTTAATCCGGTCCTGACGACCTTCAGCCGCTTATCTAATGTTGAACCCTTCTTCTACTATGCGGTTGCTATAAATGGTTGTAAAGGTATCAACGGATTTTAAAAATCAGTTTACTATATCTTTGAGGTTTCTATAATTTATTCGATTTTATTTCTGAGCTCAAAGTAAAAAGAGGAATATTAACTGGATGTGTTTCTAGCCTTTTAGCTCTTGCAATAGTTTAGGTAAATATATCGTTCAAATTGCTTGCTTTTTAATTTTTTTTTGCGTTTTGGCATATAGAACGTATTACATTTTCACATAATTTCGGTTAGGTACTTGCGCTTTAAGCGGATGCTCCACTAAGAATTAAACAGGAAACGTAAAACAATAGTATTATTTCTAAACAATTACTTTACATCAAGTACTTTTGGATTGGTTGAAGCATCATCGGTAATTTTTCCATAAGAAACCCAGTTAGTTAGTAAAGCCATTTATTCCTTATTCATTATAAGGATACCTTAAAGAAATCTTTTAAATCAAGTTAATTTTAAAAAATTGAGGTGTAGTAACCCCTCTTTCTGGAACATCAAATTAAGTGTATCATTCACTATAATTTATTTTTAATACTTTTGCTTGGGTAAAGGCGAAAAGTGGCCCTTTACGCATATTACAACCTGAAAGCCGCTTAACACTTACAATTATAATCATAGCAATCCCCCTACCTTAACTTAAGACTTTGGTGCACAGCGCTTCAAACAAGTCAATCAGGACTAGGGTTGCCACCTTTTCAGGCTTTACATAAAGTATTTCTCGACTAAAAGGTTTAATAAAAAGTACTCTGCATAAAAATTAAGTATTTTATTTTTTGTTTTTAAAAACATATTTTTTGTTACACCTAGCAGCCAGTAACAAATTGCTGTCGCTCTTAAGTACATTAATAGCCTCTAAACATGGCAAACAAAGATTTAAGTAAACTAAAAGTTCATTTTTAATTAGTTTTAATGAAGCTTTATTCCTGTTGTCCCGCCACTTTGCGTTCATAACAGAGAATACTCCTGTAAATGTTGAAGTGGCCGGAACGGACAGCAAAAGTGACACTACTTTGAACAGACTTGGGAAATCAGGTTGTTCCGTAAATATGGCTTGTCATTTTTCTGTGCAATATTATTGATATAAAAGTACTCTAAATTTCGAATAATCGCTTACAAAATTACGATGTTTACTTAAGACCTTAAATAAAGTATTTTTGCGTACTTTATGTGTCTTTTAAAGTATAACGTACGCACAGTCAAAACAGAGTACAATACTTTATAATAAAGTACGGGTGGCAACCCTAATCATGACATCCCCACGGTTAAACCGCTGACGTACAGATAAATCCTTTTCATATAGAACGAATCTCTATTCTCTACAAATAATTCCTTTAGATAAATCCTCGTAAATACTGGGGGGGAGGGGGTGGGAACAATACCACTCTGGCTACCCTCCGCATTCAACATTGTGTAAAACACTATACAATAAAAGCAAAATAAATCAAATGATAGGAAGGAGTCATGTAACCTGATTCTCATGACAACGTATATAAAATTTCTGACTAAACATGGTTGTCATGGGAAACGGTCCCGATAACATTGTGAGCTCTACAAATCTAACTGTTAATTAAGTTGTTAATCCGCTCTCAAGCCCTCAACATCTTTGTTTCATTTTCGGCTTCATTCCCCGTATAACATTCCTATTTAAATAAAACATACCTTATTAAAAAGCGTGGTTACCGAGAAATAAAAATAACTGGGGTAGATGCTATGCGTGTTCTTTCCCCAGCATTGTCAGTAAATATCTAAAGAAACGCGCCTACTGTTATTAAATCTGGTGTGAAAATATGTACACAAGACCAAATAACTTATTCAGTTTGCTTACTTTTGTAAAAGTATGTTATGTATGTAAAAAGTATATAATTTACTTGAAATTATTTTATAATTTTTACTTTATAAATATTTATAACATTTACCGACGATGCTCGAAAAAGAACGCACCGGGACGTCCCTTCACGCTTCAGACCGCACCGATTCCGTTACACGGAGCGTAGATCGACGTTCCACGCGCTCACGCTCCCATAAAATCTAGCCACAAAAACTCTAGGACACGTCTGTCCACTCCAAGTCGCGGCGAACGCGTTAAACGAAGCGTGGTTCGACAATCCACGCGTCTCGTAACAAGAGCTTGAGACGCCTTAATGTTTAGGTTTTTCCATAATTTTGTCTCGTGAGTACAGATAGCCCTACAAAATAACGTTACAAGCTTGCTTACACTAGAACCAATGGTACACTAGAACTAAAGGTACACAGAACCTTAATAAAATTGTAATGCAAGGTATCCTGATCATTGTGACCTTTATTTATAAGGTTTAATATCAATTTAAGTTAAATTCCGGAATTAGGATTTTGAATTGGGAAACAGTGACTGAAATGGTGCTCATACAAGCCATGCACCAGAGTACAGTGAACAGTTTGAACAAAATTAAGATTAAAAAAACATAAAGTATCTACATATAATTTATAATGCATATACTAACAGGTCAATTGAAAAGTCCCCGGCCTAAAATAGTAAAACACATTTTTTTTGCAAAATTCGTTTTTTTTATTCAACATAATTCCCTTCAAGGGTGATACACTGATTATAGCGATCCTCCAACTTTTCGATACCATTTTTGTAGTACGATTTGTCCTTTGCTTCAAAACAGGCCTCAGTTTCGGCGATCACCTCTTCATTCTACGACAATTTTTTCCGAAGGAGCATTCTTTTGAGATCTGAGAACAGGAAGTAGTCGCTGGGGGCCAGATCTGGAGAATACGGTAGTTGCGGATTTTTTTAATGTTTTCGTCTGTATTTCTTCCCTTCAAAAATCAATATTTTATCAACACGCGAAATTCCTTTTTATCCATTTTTTTCACAATAACAAAAGTTGCTTCACTAAAAATGCTATAATTCACATACTAATGATCCGACAGCCGTCAAATTTATAGACGCGTCTTTTGAAGGTTAGGACTAACTGAAAATCATATGGATTTAGTTCTGGTGCCGCCATCTATGTGTCAGGCAGGGGACTTTTCAATTGACCCTATATATCACAATCTTTCAGGAAGAGAAAAGAGTGACTGGAGATTTTGCAAAAATTGAAACGGCCAAATAACTCAAAAGCTGTACCACCCATTACCAACATAAAAACAATTTTCTGAATGAATATACAGTTGAAAGGTTCTCAACTACCCACGGGACACACTGTAATTTCTCATTTCAATTTTCAGTCCCACAGTTGATAGTTCAGGCATGTTAAAGTATTGCTTTTGTGTAACTACGTCAAGTAAACGTCGTAATTATTCTCCTTTGTTGTTGTCCATTTAGCGCTTTAATTACATTAATAACTGTTTGTCCAGACTCCCCCACACAAATAATCCCAGTAATTTTAAACCTATTAATAGCACAATAAAACCTCCTAGAGGTCCTAACTCACATAATATAACAGAAAGCACTACAATACCCAATATTCAATTCTTCCCTAGATTGTCCATCAATGACTTGAGGAATGCATTTCTTGTTTAAAATCTTAAAACCGGGCAGTTTTAAATAAATAATTTAGATCTACCAACTCTGTACCAGGGGCCCAAATACGAATTTCAGGATACTATGTAACAATATTGTGTTGTCATATTGACTATTTAACAAAAGGAAGAACTTAACCAAAGGACTATGGAATAATATATTAGGGACGGAGTATAGTGCGATTATAGAGGAGGGAGGATCGGTAGTGCTCCTACACTTGTACCTAGATTTTATTAGCTACTGTAGGGATAGATATACAACGGCAGATTAGTATGCTTAGATTTGCAGATGATATAGCAGTATTAGCATCTAGCAAGGAGGACCTAGAGATAGCTTTAAATGAAATGGAAGCGGTACTGATAGATCAGTGCTGTATGAAAATAAATAAAAGTAAGATTAAAATACTGGTATGCAAGGGAAGAAAAAGTAGGGAAAGAGCGAATATAAAGATAGGAGACGAAAAATTAGAAGAAGTGGCTGATTTTAGATACCTAGGAAGTCAGATAGGTCAGGACGGAAGGAGTAGTAGGGATATAAAGCAGATGATAGGTTCGTGTCGCCTTTAATAAAAAGAAGTCACTTCTATGCTCGCGAACGGTTAATTTAGAAATTCGAAAAAGGTTGTTAAAGGTGTATGTTTGGAGCGCGGCGGTGTACGGGTGCGAAACATGGACAGTGTACGCGACGGAAATGAAAAGCTTAGAATCTTTCGAAATGTGGTGTCATAGTCTAATGATTAGGATAAGGTGGATAAAAAAGGTTAGAAATGAAGAGGTATTAGAAAGAATAAGAGAACAGAGGACTCTATGGAAGTCAATAAAAAATAGACGAGATAGGTTGGTAGGATACCTTCTCGGACATGAAGGTCTAGTCAGAGACATATTAGAGGCAGAAACAGGAGTTAGGAGGGGTAGAGGTAGACCTAGATTAGATTACTCTTCGCAAATAGTTAAGGATGTGGGTTGTTCTAGTTTTAGGGAAATGCGAAGTTTAGCTCAGGATAGGAAAGAGTGGAGGTACGTATCCAACCAGTCAGTCCTAAGGACGACCTTATGATGACAATTATGATGATGATGATGATGACGTCTATACGCCTTTCCCTAGCTTAGTTAGGATGAATTAAAACTTACTTGAGTTTCGTTGCATATTTAGGTTAAGTAAGTAATTTGTACGCGAAATACGACCGCGCCCCATCTTGATCATCATTTTGAAAAATGGTATTGTATATGCTTGTCTTTACAGGCGAGTACAAAATCATGGTAAAGTTCACGCAATGTAATAACAATTGGAAAATTATTAATGAAGACGTTGTTTGTTTCATTTATTGAACTTATTATTAAAAGAAGTTGATTCATCAACTTATAGACTAATACGTCATAGCACAGGCAGAAAATTATAAGAAAGTTTACATGTCATTCAAGTTGGCGGAAAAATGATCGAAAATGGTTTTCGAGAATTTGATGGGTTCGATTTTAAGGAAAATTCGTACAAGAAATAAGTAACAAGTAAGATGAATTTCTGCCAATGATATAGATTTAGAAAAAGTTCTTAAAACGATCTATATAATTTAAAAGAAAAGAAATATTTTATAACTTTATTATTTCTATGAAATTATAAGCACATCTAATTTGAAAATATATCTCCGTGTGATACCATGCAATTTTTTTTGAAAATAGATATGTACTAAATAAATTTAATCAAAATTGACAAAGATAAGTGATTGGAATTGGTATAAAAACGACAGCTTAAAGAGCAATGTTTAAGAATGGTATACAGTTCCAAATCGCATCCCTAATATATTATAACGCGTGACGATAATGCTGAAAAATCAGCCATGGGGTTTCAAAATGATAAAAATGAAAGACGAATGGTCCAGATGCGTTGTATGGAATAAATATGGATTCATAATGTTTCCAATTACATAAATTAATGTAAAAACTGTTCTTCCATAATATCGTGAATGTAAAAAAAGGCTTCTGCAATCCCAACTTTTAGCTGGATAAATGTCGCTATCAACGTTACTTACCGACTTAAGGGATTAACTTCGAAAATTTGCAGTTGTGATTAGTATCCAAAGAATAATTTACATTCCCATAAAATTTATAGTAACAAAATAATTAAGTAACAAAGATTTCTAGTTAATTTGTTAATTGAGAAAATTTAAATACGAAAACATGTATTGATTTTACATATAAATGGTGACCTTGACAGTTCTCGAACTTTTCACTCCAGAAGATCTTCTTATCGATTTAAGAGATTAGAAGACCCGTCCAAAAAGCAAACAAAAAGAATTTCTTACCACTTCCATACACATATTTTAATATTAACCGAACAAATGAAGACATAGTTATGGTTAATACACCGTAAACAATTCTCTACGTATGTTCAGTACGCATAGCCATTAAAATATAGGTACATGATGCTACTTTCCCCTTGACAACCTCCTGTATGTCCATTTATATCCTGTCACTTCGTTAGTGTCCATTTTCTACCGTAATGTTATGATTCTAAGCATATTCCCCAAATAGAAACGTTGGCAACACTGCCAAAGTTCACCATTTTGCGAAGAGTTTGTATAAGTATAACTCGCACGATAAAAGCGATTTTGAAAACACTATTTGATCAATATTTGTGGTACATTTACTAGTCTCTGTAACTATAATTGTAACGTAAAATGCAAATTATTAGTATTTCTACGGCAAACGGAATATTTAATAAATATTTCGTCGATAACTTTTGTTTATCGTTGTACATGACTCGTTGCATTTAACGTGACGTTAAATTAAATGCATGTTGGTGTTATTAATCCATAAAATCTAAATCCCTCCTTACTAGTCACGTAACAATTTCCTTTATTCGTTTTGTTTATTATTGCAACTGCTTTCGTTAAATAGATATTGTCATATTGATTTCACGAAGAATAACTATTAACGTGTATTTAAAATGGTAGATGCAATATAAGTACCACAAATGGGTACTTAATAAACTTGTTCCGAAAATGCATTTATATGTAAATTGCAAAGTTAGTATTTTATGAGTTTTTTGAAAAGGGCTTTTTTTGTTATTGTTACTATTTAAATTATTTCATATTTACCGTAATGTTAACGTCGAGTTTCAGAGTTTGTATCAAATTTAGTTACCAATGACAGCATTAATATAAAATAACACAGCAAATGTTAAAGATGATGTCGAGTTGCTACCAAAAGGTAATTAATTTAAATTTGAGGTGGTTGAATTACTGTATGAAAACAACTAAAAATAAAAGAAAAATACTGGTATGCAAGGGAGGAAAAAGTACGAAAATATAGGAGACTAAAAATTAGAAGTGACTGATTTTAGGTATCTAGGAAGTCAGATAAGTCAAGACGGAAGGAGTAGTAGGGATATATAGCAGAGGGTAGCGCAGGGTCGAGTCGTTTTTAATAAAAAGAAATCACTTTTATGTTCACGAACGATTAATTTAGAAATTCGAAAAAGGTTGTAAAGGTGTACGTTTGGAGCGCCGCAGTGTATGGATGCGAAACATGCACGGTGGGCGCTACGGAAAATAAAAGGTTAGAAGCTTTCGAAATGTGGTGTTATAGACGAAGGGTGAGGATGGAGAGATATTAGAAATAGAGATTAGATTAGATTAGATAGAGAAATTAGAAAGTTTACTTCAGTCCCTGAAGAAGGTAACTTTGTTACCGAAAAGTGCTTCGGACAACTACAGTGTCTTGTTTTTGGCGTTGGGGTTTTGAGCTATTCTGTTTGTTCTACAACAACCGCCAAAGTTTTTCCAATCTTCATATTTTTGAAGACACAAATCATTCTTGAAACTCTCGTAACTTTTGTAGAATGTTATGAGTAAACTGGATAATTTTTTTAATTTTGGTAATTATCTGTTTTCTTGCATTAATTGTTAATTGGAGTAATAAGAAATGGCCAGACATCCTAAACTGATTTCCTCATGAAAGTGAATCATAGCAATCAAAGGTAATGAACACGTCTTAATTTTTAAATCTTTTTTGGATATTTTTCTTTTGACAGTAAAACTTGACAGCAGTGACAAAATAATACAATAGTCATAATAGGAGCGAAATAATTAACAGTAAATATGTACAATGAATAATGAATCACAGTAATTGTATGTTGTTTAACACGTCTGACGAATTTGTCAATTTACGTATCTTCCCATGACTTTTATGTGTAATTTGTAAGCAATAGTGTATAAATACGTAAAAATTATAGTGTTGTGGGATATGTCAACAAAGTCACAGTTAACGAAGGATTTAAATGGTACTTTGTTTTACTTTATTATGATGCTTTATAAATTAAAAATAATTACACTTATCGTGCAGGAGACAATTATATTTTATCAAGTTGTACTGTTGCATTTTTTTGGTGGCATAACCAAAGTATTCTATGCATGTTTACAATATTTATATTAGGTTTTATTTAGATGTAAAATGTATTTGCAGAAAGTATTAAACGCTTATTGGGGAAGCAAGTTAAGATCCTATTTAAAAATGTCGTACGACTTGANATCAGAATAATCAACAGAATCTGTAAAATAATAATAATTAATTTTCAATATATTAATTGTTTCTGTATTACCTTTATGTTTACAATTTTCGAAATATAATTGTCATTTTTAATAATTTAAAATTATTAGAAGTAACACCAGCTATGTCGATTAACTGCTCATTATTTGAAATTGGTTCGAAACCCTGAAATTTTCCTTCTGAAGTTTCAGTTGATTGATCAATAAAATTATTAGTTGGGAGTGTTACATTCTTTGTCTTTGTATTTTTTTTTTTGTTAACAATGGTTTTACTTTTTACATCCATAATTTCCCGTTTGAATCTCGGTATCACATTTGTCAGCATTTAAATACACGTATACAGAGTGTCTCACGGTGACCACCCATTAGAATATTTCGGAAACTATTTCGATTCGAATTTTGAAAATTTAGATATCGGCATCTATGTAGCACTTTCGGTTATACCGGAAGTTGACACCAAATTCGTTATTTTATGTGGAACACCCTGCATGTCATGGCGGTTTTGAATTCTACTGATAATTTTAGGCGGACTTTTATTATGCTTTTCTACTTTTAATATTTAACGTTTTCGAAATATTAATTTTTATTAAAAAAAGTATCAGAACAGTAGGTTGTGAAAAAGCATGCCTATTTTACAGTAAGAACAACAATATTCTCAAAAACGGTAATGCAAGCTCAAGCTTCCCGTCATTACTTTCAAGGTGGGCTGATTACATACAGAATGTTAGATATTTAATGGCGGATTTCAATTTTTTCAAATCGAATACTCTCTGTATATTTTCGTAGCCTTATATAGAATTTTATTATCTTTCGAATGGTACTATGGTTCCTTATACCCACGTGCTCCAGTTTTCGAATTACTTACTGTTCTTAGTAAATTCAACTAAAACTGTTTATTTGTTTACGAAGATGACTGTGCAATTTTTAGCGGAACTTCAAAACAAATAATATGAGTTAATTATTGTCACTCAAACACCCATATTGACAGTTTAATCATTAAATATTTTGATTCTCAATGTCAATTATTCAATATAATTTTCATGAAGAATGGATAATGAAAATACCTACTCACATTGAGAAGAATTTTAAGAAATTAATTGCAGTACGGTAGTCTATAGAAAACAAAATTAAACAAGTAAATAAAATAAACAATTGACAATATCAACTGATAGTAATTACAGTTATTAGGTTAAAGGTTCGAGCTGTAACCCATAGGTTTATTGGAAGGGTAAACAGTTGCTTACAACTAAACGGGAGCATATCTAACGGTTGAACTAATACATTCATTGAAAANCATTTTAATAATTGTTCAAATATTTCACCTGCCTTTATCTTTCTTCAATCTAAGGAATATGCAGGACTTATGTTTTAAGAAAATATTAATTAAATATTGTTTTTATTTAGAATTGAACTTAATGTTTTTCTGAATGACCGGTACTGCTTAGGCGCAAACGCTTTTGTAAAGTCCCACATGCAACTGTCCACCCATGGGAGATTTACATGTACCTGTCTTGCTTATTAAAAATGGTTTAAGCCAATAATTCTTTGTTTTCGATTTCACTTTAAATATACCATGAAATGAAATATTGTTAAACCATAAATAATGTTCACAATGTTAGTACCCGTATACATAGTGTATTTTTACAAAATTCCGACAATATGGAAAAAGAACAATACAAATACTAGTTACAATTAATGTGTTATAATACTCGTTATTTTTAACATTTTACGTTAAAGTTTGTTTTTGTGTTTGAGATGTGGTGTGATAGGGTGATGTTAAATAAAAAGGGTTGAAAAAGAGGAAGTATTAAAATGGGAATGGAAAAGGACGTAATGGACACTTTCTCAGACATGAAGGACTATAGAGTTCTTCAAACTGAGTGGTACATTAGATGTTTTAGGGAAACTAAGTGTGTAAGGGATCTGAAAATTTGGCTGTAGGGGTTATCGAAGATTATCTTTTTAACTAAAAAAATTCACCTATCGCCCGTTTCCGGTTATGCCGAAAGTTGATGTCAATTTTCTTATTTTAAATCGATGGTATACTTTTTACGACGAATTCGTCTTCTATTATAACATAGAAAATCGAATATTAAGATTTTAAATAACATTTGGGGTAGCACACATTTCTTATGTCATAGTTATGTCGATAAAAATCGAAATTTATTGAAAATTTTTCAAATAAAGAAATATAAAACATCCACATGAATCGAAGGAGGATAAAAACGGTAATCGAACGACAAAATAAAATATGGTAGGTATCATTTGAAAAAACGAAGTTATTCGTGTTTGAAGCTCAATTTGGTTTGGTAAAAATTTCAACACTCTAAGTCATTTTTTGTGTAAGTTATGATATTTTATATAGTTTGGGTTGCGGTAGGGATTTATTTTCTATAAATTAAATTATCTCAGAAACTATTCATCAAACGCACACAAGTTGGTTATCAAAGTTACCTTAAAATTTTGTGTTTCATACGTATTCGTCGCAAAAAAAATATACCATTCCGCTTAAAATAACAACTTCAAGTATAACCGACAGGTGAAATTATTTTGGTTAAAAAGTTCATCCTCGATAACCAATACTGCCAAATTTTCAGATCTCTTACACGCTTAGTTTCCCTAAAACTTCTAATGTACCACTCGGTTTGAAGAACCCTATGTATTAGAAGCAGAAACAAGGACAGAGATTAGAATATTAACTGTTTGCAAATAATTATTGCACAACACTAATTTTATTGCCAACAATATTTGAGCGATTTCTAGATAATTTTGTATTGCATTCGTTTTACTGGATTTACTCTATTTTCGGAGATAATTACCTAATTAATATAAAAGAAAGAAAAAGATCCGTTTTACTAAGAATGCAATATTAATTTGAAATCATTCTTTCGATTTAAATTTTACCCACTACATCAATTTAATTGAAAACTGTTAATATAAATTGTATGAAAAATGAACAAAACGATTTGCTTAATTTACACTTTATGTGTGAATAATAAACACTCAATTTTTATTAATTTTTGTGTTGTCAGTACAATTAAATTTGATTTGATTTAATTGCGAAATGAATTCTTTCTACTTTTAATATTTAACGTTTTCGAAATATTAATTTTTATTAAAAAAAGTATCAGAACAGTAGGTTGTGAAAAAGCATGCCTATTTTACAGTAAGAACAACAATATTCTCAAAAACGGTAATGCAAGCTCAAGCTTCCCGTCATTACTTTCAAGGTGGGCTGATTACATACAGAATGTTAGATATTTAATGGCGGATTTCAATTTTTTCAAATCGAATACTCTCTGTATATTTTCGTAGCCTTATATAGAATTTTATTATCTTTCGAATGGTACTATGGTTCCTTATACCCACGTGCTCCAGTTTTCGAATTACTTACTGTTCTTAGTAAATTCAACTAAAACTGTTTATTTGTTTACGAAGATGACTGTGCAATTTTTAGCGGAACTTCAAAACAAATAATATGAGTTAATTATTGTCACTCAAACACCCATATTGACAGTTTAATCATTAAATATTTTGATTCTCAATGTCAATTATTCAATATAATTTTCATGAAGAATGGATAATGAAAATACCTACTCACATTGAGAAGAATTTTAAGAAATTAATTGCAGTACGGTAGTCTATAGAAAACAAAATTAAACAAGTAAATAAAATAAACAATTGACAATATCAACTGATAGTAATTACAGTTATTAGGTTAAAGGTTCGAGCTGTAACCCATAGGTTTATTGGAAGGGTAAACAGTTGCTTACAACTAAACGGGAGCATATCTAACGGTTGAACTAATACATTCATTGAAAAGTTTGGGCTAGACCGCGGTTTTGCTTGTAAATTGGCAAAAATTACGTACACCATTGATATACTTACGCGCACGCTTACAAGTGTGAGGATTCTTTTTATGCTTTATGCTATTTTCGTTTTTCTTCTCTAATGATAGACAAATATAATTGAAAAAAGTTAAATGAGAACGTGGTTTAAAATCACTTTTTCGATAAGGGTAAGGAGGTCCGATCTTTGAAAGTGATAAATTTTTATCAATAAATGAAAAAGCGATTTCTTTTGTGTCCACTTTTATGATAGAAATCCGGCTACCACTGCGTTGAAATTTTGAGAAAAGAAGCCTTTTTTATAGTTATTAATCCTACTAAAATTTTATTCCGATCAAATAAATAGGTGAGCAACAATTAATGTATTAATAAATTTTTTTTATTAATTTCGTAATGCTATCGAATGCTAATTATTTATCCGCTGTGATCTGTGCTCAGAGAGAATATGTAGGAAGCGTACTTATATTATATTCAACCATTAAAATTGTGTTTTTTATTGTTTAACGTTATTTTTGGCTACAGGTTTGTAAACTTGATTTATTGACATCCAATTAAATGTTTTTTAATACATTTTAATAATCTTTTTATAAAATTATCAAAAATTAAAAAACCCTTAATTTGAGATTAATAAAAGATTCTTACATAAAAATTGATTCACAAACAGGTAGCCAAAGACACGTTAAACAATGAAAAAATATAGTTTTAA